AATTTTTTTATTTTTTTCGTTTGCTCTTGACGTTCAAATTATAATGTATATTCAAAATTTTAGGAAAGAAGTTCTCTCTGATATTATTATGTATTGAGGACTTGTCGTTCGTATGAGTAGGTGATAAATCAAGAAAGAAACATTCAGAAGCCTTCTCTATATAAAACGCTGTCTTACGTTACTACCTCAAATTACCAAGACAAAAGGCTTGGCTTCTGGAGGGTGGGTTCTCGAGGAACGGCTTGGGACGCCTGTTTCTTGCACGCAGCGATGTAGGTTGCAATTGTCTTAAACAGTCCGGATGACTTCAGCACAGACGAGAGTGCGCTGCTCAGAGATTTTCGTGTAAGAGATCTACGAGGATCTGAAGACGAATGACCGCCGGACACGGAATGGGTGTAGAAAGAGGAGACATGCACAAACATCGAACAAACTCTGACGGGGTCCGCGATCCCATGCGAGTTGTCAATATCGGACGCCGCGTGTTCTATAGAAAGCATGCTTTGTCGAATAATATCTGGTCCTCGTATGTGTCCTGGTTCCTGTTATCCTCAAGAAACTTCGCCTTGCGTAATGGCCAATCCATGACTACTACCACGAAAATACAGTCAGGGTACTAGAACTAACGTGTGGCTAGTGGCATCACTAACAACCGGCAACGAAAAGAGGTTGCGAAAGGGAGAAACGTCGAAACCGCAATATGGGTGCGGTGAGGGGGCGCGCGCCTCTTCCAGTGGTATCCGTCGCCAATAGGTGCAATGCAGGAGGCAGTAAGAGTGCGTCCCGCGAGGAACGCTGGGGCTAGCGGGCGGCGGCGGGTGGCGCGTGATGGCAAGGTCAGCTTAAAAGAGGCTTGATTTTCTCAATTGAAAGATTGTGCACAGCATATTAAATTTTCGTAAGTCAGACTTGGTTTGTGTGAGAACGATGTCAAAACAATCGTGCAATAAGGGGTGAACCAATTGCAAGTGGTCGAGCACAATTCGGCATCAAGGATGAACTTGGCACATTCCGAATTTTTTTCGCGCGCCAGCTACAATGGGATAAACACGTTCCCACGCACTAACCCCGCCAGGACCGAGTTATTCGTTGATCGCCGGAAATCTTACGGTTTTAATTGGACGCGGACCTAACACGCGTGACTCCATACTGAAACGCCCGCTGTCAAATCTCGCTTCCTATAATACTTTTGGGAGGAATGATGCATGCTCTAGTGAGGCTGCCGAGCACACGATCTCCCACTTCGCGGCCAGCTCATTCGCTAATAGCCGAGCGAACGATCGTATGCAGAGCGGAGTGCAATCGGAGGGCATGCGGGCCTTCGCGCGGAGAAACGCAGCGAAACGAAAGAGAGGACTCGGCTCGGCTGCGCGCGCCGGCCGGGTGGCGCATTCGGCCCGTTCTTTTCCTGGGGATTTGCGTGCGGCGCGGGTCGGGGGGCCACGGCGTACGGGGACCGGCGGGTCGCCCGAGGGAGGAGGGGGTTGGAGAGGGGAGGGGAGGGGGAGGGGCGACGGAATCGCCACGGCGGGCGGGGCGGGCGCGGAGGGGGGCGGCGATCGGATTGTTCTGGAAAGCAACGATTGAGCGGAGGTCACGCTGGACGTAACGGGCCGCACGCAATCCCAGGAAAAGAACGGGCCGCGCGCGGGCCGAATTCCTCTTTCGTTCGCTGCGTTCCTCCGGCGAAGGGCCGCTGCCTCGCGATGCACTCGCTCTGCATACATCGTTCGCCGGTATTACGAAATAGTGGAGATCGTTTCCTCACTAGCACAACCTCCCAGTTTATGATGAACTGGCGTCAGTATGGGTGTTAGGTCACGCGTCCAAAACCTAAGTTCAGGGATTCAAAATATTCCTGCGGATGCGGGTTTTCATAGGGCGAAAAATTCGGAATGTGCAGTGTCATCCTTGTGCCGATTGTTTCGACACTTGCATGTCACCCTTATGCACGATTGTTTTGACATCTCTCACACAACAATGTCTGACTTACGAAATTTAATATATGTGCACACTTTCAATTAGAAAATAACTCTTTTAATTAGTGACTTGCGTGTTTATATAATTTCCTGCTTGAATCAGGTACACTGAAAGAGCAACAATTGTGTTAGTGAAGTTTATATTGAATTTCGTGAAGTAGTCATGATTGGCATACGCAAGGGATAATGGAAACGCCTTAAACACTTCTCGTTCTTAAGCAGAGGATTCCAATTGTGGTTTGTATTCTCTAACGTTGTATTTTGCTGAGAACCTCGTGTTTTACACGAAATCTGAAGCCACTGTCTTCGGTTCCGCGTTTAAAGACAATGCACCTACATCCTGCGTCAGAGAAACAGGGGTTCTGTGGAGGAAGGCACTGGGGTAGTAAGAAGACGTATGGAAGCTCTGAATGTTTCTTTCTTGTTTACTTCTTCCCACAAGGCTAAGAACAGAAGGAACTCCTAAATGAACGATGGTTCACACGGGACCATTCCTACTGCATTCTTTCCCACAATTCTGTTGTCACCAGTCACCTGGTTTTCCAGAAACAAAGTATATGTGTGTGTGTGTGTATGTATTCACTCCAAAGCATTTTTTTATGTTTTAAGTAGATTTTTTTAAACACTATAATGGTTTGTTTTCTCGCAGTGTTTAATAGTTTGCCCCTGCTGTATATTTTGAATACATGTGATTTGTACATTCCTGTGAAGTATGTATAAAATATTTCGTTTAGATTAATTATCGTGCAGCGCTCGTCAAAGTTGCCCCTACATGACCTATAGCCCTCAACCTAGTATACAAGTAGTCTATACAATGACATTTAGATAAATCACGCAGCCGCGCTCCAGTCTTTCATCTCCCATTATTATACACCTCTTATGATCACTCCATCAATCATTCATTGGAAGGTAACGACAAAGCGTTTGTGTGGTCGCAGGCCCAGGAAACACGCATGCAGCCGTCGCAGCCTGCATTCAAACCCATACCGTTTGGGTTGAGGGTACTTGTCATTATACGTGTAATGGAACTTCGTGATCGAGAAATAATGTCAGTGACGCATAGGCGAGCACAATCTTCGACGCTAAGAACGAAGAAGGAACGGGATATCGTGCCATCCAAGGCAGGTTTTGATCTGCTCGAGCATTTCCTTGGAAACGAACGGAAACCGTAGACCAGAGCAGGCGACCTGCAGGCTTTCTTCCAGTGACTTTGACCCAATTACTGCCATTGGTACATTGTGCACCTCTTGTAAAGAAAAACATAGTAAACTTCTTTATGGAGTGAATTCTTTCGAAATATTTTCCCCTTTTACTTTCTCGCTTACTATTACTAAGTGGTACGAGAAAGTTCTGTATTATTGCATTAAAGATGCCGATTATTCTGCAGAAAAAATATACAACGTACAAAAACGTAAGTCCAATTTTCAGGAATGTCTGAAATTTTGAAAGTTGCAAAAATCAATATTTTGTGCCGAGTTTTAGGAGCATTGGTAATTAATCAGTACAAGTTGTGTAACGGATGAGACAATTTATCACGGTGTTTACGTTCTCAAATTCGAATCCCAGCCCAGGCAAATATATTTTGCGGATTTATACCACGTTTCCGTTTATACCACAGTATTAACCAATCTAATCTTGTGAGGTCATACGCTACCAAGCAATTATGAACAAACGCATAATGATACGACTAATGTAACCTTCCTCGCCACAATCATATTTAGGAAGTGCACATGCCATATGTAGGTCTTAGATCCAGTCTCGTTTCCTGCGAAACGTTTGTCGCCATGCGTTTTCCGTCTGTGTTACGTACTGGACTGCCTTCGCAATATTCCGATTTGACAACATCGTCTCACAAATTGATTTTCGCTCACGATTTTTAAAAAATGACGTTCTCCTTAAACTGTCACTAGCAACAAGAATGCAATTTAAGAACTAGGAAAATGCAAGTAAAAATCAAGAAATGTTATTAATTATTATTATGAAAATCATTTCCGCATTAATGCGACAGACTGTTCATCCATGAGTAAAATGTAACCAAAGTTAATTTATAATGTCTGTTGTAAAAAGGTCGGCGAGTTTCACCTACAGATACATTTTCTCATGCTCTTTTCTCTTCCTGTAACACGTTTTTAATTCATTAATACAGAAATGATTTTCATAATAATGATAAATAACATTTCTTGCTTTTAATTGTGTGCTTAAAGATCGTTGTGTTTCATCTAAAGATACAAAAAGCAGACGTTAATATATCAATAAAATGTATTTGTATGTCCAGTGTTCCCAAAACTGGATTTTTCACTAGCACACATGTATGAAATTGAATAACGAGGAAATTGTAAGTAAACGCCAAGAAATACAACTAACGAATAGTATGATCATCATTGTTGTATAAAAGAAAGAGCGAAAGCTCGTTACCGCTAAAAACTTACAAAAAAGCAGTTGGAACTTTCGGCTGAGCTGAAAACGTTAGGCATGCACACGCTCAAGAATTCAGCCTGCGGGTAACGATGCGAGCAGTTGGAGACTTAAACGCGCGATAACGCGACAATCCCCGGGAGACACGCAATGAGGATATTAATCAGCAAAAAATACAAAGAGCGATGAACCTTTGGGCAAACATTCACGTGCACGAACGATGAGAAAGCATTCAACTCTCTTTGTGCAGCTTTGTGTGGCAGCTTCCCTCGTGTGAAAACACAAAGTCTTACTTTTCTGGAAGTACAAAAAAAACTTCTCTCAATGAAAAAGTGGAAGATATTCTAAGCTGTTTTGTTCCTCCACTATTCAATTCATAGATAATTGTATTTACTGTAAAGAAAGGTCATGGAACATAAAAGAATTTGAAATTAAAAAGTATTTGCTGAATTTACCAACGCCACCTCAATGTAGACAAATTACGAAGGGAAAGTACAGTTTCCGTAAAGAACTTTAATAGGACGTAGCAAGATTTCTAACAGTTAAATACTCTCCTCGCTTACTGGAATAGCAAATACAGCTGAATCGAACACATTTCACTAGAGTTGTGAATTCGAATTCCACCGAAGGCATAAGTGTGGCAGGCAAAGCAAACTCGTATGTACCATATATACTCATCGAAATAATGGACAATTTATCATTTAGTGATTCCAAAAGAAATTCAAGTAACAATTTTCTGTAAGTTGTCGCCAACATTCCGTTAGAAAAGTGGCACTAGAAGGAGAAAATTGTACATTCGATTACGTATTCTTCCTCGCTCAACTTCAGAGCCAATGTTGATGGGAGTGCGTTTTCCGAAGAAACATATAGAACGTACCTTAAGTCCCATTCAGAATATGACAATATCAAATTTGTCAAATTTAATTTCACTACTAATTCCAAGTGTACTTGAACATTTTTCAATTAGAAGTACTAATAACAGGA